ACATTCTTTTCTTTCCCTACCTTGTCCACTCTCCATATCTTGAAGCTTCACTTTATCCTTATTCCTTTTGTATAAAGTTAAGAAAGAAAAATATAGTATACTCAATCATTTTCTTCCACACTTTGTATAAATCAACGAATAACAATCATTCAAGTATAAGATCTAAAAGTAGTTAGTAAGCCATACAGACTTCCGAAACATTCTAGATTGTTCAAGAATAGCCTAAAGTTTTATACATAAGAGTTGTCTTCTATAAAAAGTTCTAGAAATAGGATTTAGTGTAAAATTCTCTAAAAAACTTATATAACTTTTTGAACTTACCTATAAATAGGTGAAACCTCCTCATTTGTAAACAATTTTATGTAAGTGTTCATAAGAGCAATACAAATTTTTCTTAGTTTTCAACGTTTTTCTTCTTTGCTTACTACTTTAATTCTGCACATTTTCGCACATTTGGATGTAAAGTTGAACTAGTAAATGTGACGGCCCTGCCTTCCCCTAAGGCGAACCAGAGGGTTCGGCGGACCGCCTGCCCAACTCTCGTCGGGACTCACTCAAGCACTACAGTTCTCAAATAAATTACAGGATAAAACTCAAATACACATCTTACTAGTCAACTAAAACAAGTACAAGTTCACTCGTCTATAATCGAAACACTAAACACCTTCCCGAGCGATCCCCGCGTCGGCCCCCTGCTAAGGAAAACAAAAGGAAAGAGGTAAGGTATATGTTTAGTAAGTAAACAGGGGTAAAAGCATAAATTTCACGTAACAACAGTTACTCAGTAAGAGTAAAGCAAAAGCAGAAAAGTAACATTACATAATAAGGATACGGGTGGCTCCAAAGCCAATTCATGTGCCGTATATGATCTCCTGCCGACACTCCGTCGACCACAAATAAGGTCCGTAGAGCTCCACTTGTACACCCACCGAACACCTTATCACCCTCACTGGCCAGTCATCTCACAAACTTGCCCAGGCGAACGAAATCACAAACTTGAGCTTGAATCACAAGCTCGGGTCACAAACTTGATCCACATACTCAGTGAACCGGGTTCACAAACTTGGTGACCTCAAACCAAGTTGGACTGACTTCGACCAAACCCTAACCAGCTCGAATAGTCCATCTAGGTATTGAGATCGGGCCCCAAACTCACAAACTTCACAAAATTTATTCGAAAGTCACCCCGAGCCACAAGCTCAAGGGGTTTAGTTCCAAAATGATTCATATACATATGTCATGTACAAATATGTGCGCAAATTAGGGTTTAGGTCGAGTGCGATAAAGTACACCCTCGCCTAGGTACCCTTTTCATACATATCGAAACACATAAACAACTAACGTGTAAGAGCGGCCTGAATACTTACTCAACGAACAAGGATAACAAAAGGACAAAATTCACGTCGCAAAAAGTAGCTAGTAGGCCCCACCGGCTCTACCTAACTCACCACCGTCTGAAATAGAAGATTGTATCACAATATATCACAAACGGCTACTAACATACTTAAAACAAGCAAAACGGCAAAAGCCGACACACTCAAGTACGGAAACGGCAAAATTGGCACATGCAAGTGCGCGGAACGGCAAAAGGAAACGGTCAAATCTGCCATCTCAAACCGTTTTGATCAAAGATTAGGCTAGGAAAGTCGGATCAAAGTGAACGAGATACTGTTTTGAAGCTATGAGAAAGGGCTACAAATCTCCTGAAGAAACTTTAATCTAGATCTGAATGGAAGCAGGTCAAAATTGTAGAAAACAATACCAGAAATTTACGTCTTAGGGTGACGAATAGGGTTGTTTGCTGGACCATAACTCCCAGCTCACAAATCCAAATCAGGAAATTTCAAAGGCATTAGAAAGCTGAGACCTAAGACTAAAACTTTGATGTTTTGGCCAAGACCTGAATCAACTCAGAACAGAACGAAAATTGAGTGTCATACTACCCATCAGAACTGTCCAGATACAAGGCAGTTCTGACGATCGATCTTGTTTGGGTCATAACGGAAGCTACGGAACTTGGATTTCGACGCACTTTATACCGTTTCGAAGCCAAAACCAAGATCTACATTTCTTATGAAAGAGTCACCACCCAGATCGTACGGTATCAAAACTGAAAAAGTCACGGGCAGAAGCTAAACTAAAAACGCACAGAACCTGATGTTCAAAACAGGCTTGAGTATTTCATCTATAACTCATGATACCATAATCCGTTTGACCTGAAATTTTACAGGAATATTCAGGACTTAAGGGTCTACAATGTTGAAGAAGGCCACTTAGTCCAATTTCGAGTGTAACTATGTCAAAAATGTAACATACTACACCAGAATCGCAAAACAGGTTCACAAACCGTATTCTAGTACAAACATCATAAAACAGCCTACATAAGTCCAAATCCAGAAATTCCAAAGCCATATGAAAACTTAGAAATAGGGCTACATTTCATTAGAAGACCAGAACAACCAATTCTGAAGCATTCCAAACCAAAATAACCAATTACAATCGCAATTCTCAGGTTCGGGTAGAAACAGGACAGCAAGGGTAAATCCGTCTTTTCTCATTCTACGTTACTCCGATTGACCTGAAATTTTGCAGGCACCTCTAAAATGTCATTCCCTACAACTTTCATGTTTTAAACCAAGGCCAATTCGACCTCTAACATAGGGCTACAAAACCGGACAGAAAGGGGAACAAATTTTCCAGATTCTGGAATTTTTGGTCTTCAATGAAACTTTCTCAAATTTCTTGTTCCAATCACTACCAAAGCCCCTTATATAATCTTATATACAACATATACTAACTATACAACAAGTTTAGGCAGAAAATTATTAAACCCTAACTTGCATATCTCATCCAATAATCATCACAACTACTTGCACATCTTGAAATCAAGCCAAAACTTAAGCTAAATAACATTTTAAAGCAAGATTCAAAGCAACAAAGATCATGATCAAATGTTGGTACCTCAAAAGCAAGGCTTGGTAGAGTGATCCTTCACCCCCTTTGATATTTCTTGGTTCCTCAAGCTTCCCAACTCACAATTAGCACTTTAACCGGTTTGGAAATTTGATTTGTCACTTGGATTGCTAAGATTCAAGAAGAAGAAAGTTGTTCTTGTTCTCTCTTTCCTCTCTCTCTTTGGTCAGCTATGGAGCAGAAATGATGAAGGGAAAGTGCAGAAAATTGGTTTAAGAAGGTTAGTTACTCACTTGGCCAAGAAACTCTAGGATGGCGACAAGTGTCGCCACCTCCACCTTTCATTTTTCTCTTTCTTTCCTTGCTATTTCTAGCCTCTAATTTTCGGTCAAACAAGCTGACAATTAAGAGGTTATTTTGCTCAAATATCAATAAACTTGTATGATAAGAAAGTGGTGGTCAATTAGTGCGTTCAATCGGTAGTGCGCGGGACCCGCCGGTTCGCGCCGTTTTTCTTAAAAACACACGTATTAGGGTTTTTACTTCCCATTCACTAACTTTATATCATTGCTCCTAATCACATATTATTGTCCACTTAAAAGTCACTTTTAATCACCAAATTTGATCCTTGCTCCATACCGAAAATTCATCCGGCGGAAAAATTGCGAAAACCCTAATTTTGCTCCAATCTTGAAAACGAAGAGTGAAACCCTACTTTTTAGGTTTATCTGCACTTATTGTGGAATAATTGGGTAGGAGGCTTTAATAAATAATAATTTTCAAATAAAAGGCATTTTTGAGGAAAAACATAAGAAATTTGCGGGTCCTCACAGTAAACCGTTCATAACTCAAGTTTTAAATGATCACTAGTACCGCATGGTGTGTTGATTTATAGAAATTTAAGCAACTCGTGACAAGTGGGCATCCACAAAATCCCAACTTTCATACACAGTATCAATACTTGTCAAAATTAAAAAAAAATACACATACAAAATCCCATTGATAGCTAATTTTATACCTCCAAATTAAATATCAATGTTCAAATACTTTTTCAATGTAAGTTAATTTGATTTAGAACCACCATTACAATTCTCCTATGACCATAAAAATATTAATATCTCAAATATAGAGAATAAATTCTACTTCCACAATAAAATCATAATAAAAAATTTCTAATCCAATAAAAGAAATTATCATGTAATATAAAAGTTTTTCTTAACAACAAATAAAATATGACAAATTTTGCATATTTAGTTTTTTTTCCTATTTCAATAATCAATTTCATTATTTATTTCTTTATCACTGTAAGTCTCTTCTAATTTGATATATAATCTACTGGAAAAGTTGGAGGCAATGCGGTAATGCCTTGACTCTGGCCTACTGCAATACCTTTTCTTCCCGTCGTACAATGCAATTTTTTTTTTTTTAAACCCGACATTACCTTCTCCATTAACATATTTTAGGGAAAAGAATACTTTGAGACGAACTCCCAGCATTGTTCCGTTTGCAGTTTGGAGAGTTAAAGCATACTAACATAGCGTGCTAATTGGATTGCCTGAATTGCTCAGATTTAAATGCTAACGTTTTTTGTCATGCGAAACAACCTTGATGATACATATTATATAATTTTTTTAACCAAATCTTTGTATTATACAAATTGCTATTTTGTTTTGGTTATACAAGTTTGCTTACAATCTCATATCCGATGAATGGTCACTGTGCAAGGTTCAAGTCAGCTTAGTATAATCACAACCACACAGCGAAGACATCAACTGAAACATTAACAAATTCATCTCTAACATTTCATAAATTAGTGAACCACTGAGACAAACTGACAAGGTTACTTGCAAACAAGTGATATAGGAATATAAACCGACAAAGTCCAACACTAGTTTAATTTCTCCTAGAATGCTTGTCAGTAGTGACATTGAAACGCCTATAGTTACCAGAAACTTGCGGTCTAGAGCCCAAAAAGGGTGAGAATGGAATAGGTGGGGAGCATCCCATTGTCATAAAACTCAGTTTCTGCAAATCTTATGGAGGAGGACGCTACATTATGAAAAAAAAAAAAACACGTCAATATCGTGTAAATAGAAAGACAGAAGAAACCAAGTTGCATAGCTTATATATGTTTCGATTGCATCCTTTATCCGGTACTCAAATCGAGTAAATTACAGGTTCAGCTACAGTGGGTAGTTCAATATGGTGGTGTTACAACAAAAGGATAGTTCAATATGGCGGTGTCAAGAGCAACACAAGGACTTTTCACATAAGAAGTTCTTTTCTATGTAGGATCTCTCTCCTCTGATAATATACCAACGAGTAGAGAAATAAGGTAAGATAAGACGAAAGATCTATGGGCACCTTTATAAACTCAAACCAGTCAATCCATCATCTTTCAAGCATTGAGCTGCTTGAGCAGGCGCCATGTTCCTCCGCCACTTCCAATAGTTTGCTCTCATTGGATCTACAAGTTCTAGGATGGAACAGACCACTTTCACCAAATCAGAACCTTGGGCACCTGAGTCAGAAAGACCATAGACAGCATTTCTTATCTCCAGGCTAGCCTGGAAACCATGGCAGAGAAGGTCCAAAAGCATGCTGAGGGCGTGCACGTAATTGTTTTTGGCAGTCAAAATCTTTAAGCAAACTGACGCTACTTGAGGGTCTTTAACTAGAGCCTGTGTATCATTTCTGTATAAGCCTCGAAGGTACCTCCAAGGACTTTCATTTTCAGGATGCTCCATAATTGCATTAACTGTACAAGTTACTTCTGACTCCCGCATTGCCCCCAGGCCTCCAAGGAGAGGAGATCTTGTTACAACAAAATATCTCTGCAACCAATAATTCAACATGGGATTTCTCAGATGTAGAAATCTACAAAGGTACAACACTGTGACAAGAGATCATGCAAGGACAAGTAAAACATGACCTCCTCATAGCATATCAGCTGTTTATGGATCATAAACAGCTGAATTTGAAATCTCGGGTTTTATACGTTCACCGACACACATTGAATACTTTACATATTTATCTATCAGTACAGAACAAATAACAGATGATTTTGTGAACAAGATATCAAAATAGGCATATAAGCACAATACAATTGTGTTGCATAAGATCAGAGGGTTTGAGTTGATAAGCTTCTAACTAATTAGTTTGGTTTACCTGGAAATACCTAAGATTTAATCAGTTCAACTAGGAAAAGATTTCGAATATTCAATCTAGCACAAATTGGGTCGAAAACATTAACGTTGTTAATCAGATTAGTCAGAATTTTTCTTTCCCTGTTTTCAAGAATTTTCAAGAACATCTAGTCATGAACTTGGAAATTTAAATTAGTTTTACATTAAAACAATGAAGGTTTTACATGAAGTTGGTCACGAAGTTGCATAATGAGTCATCATGTGAGATGAAATGCGAGATTTTACTAATAACAATGCTGACACAAAAAAGAAAACTCTAGATAGTCCACCTGACACGATTAGAAAAGAGGAGAGGATTTGGAGTGGCTTTGGGCCTGTTCTAGGCATCTAGCACAAGTGGAGGTTTTATGGAGAAAACAGGAGCAAAATATATATCAAAACTGGAGGAATATTTAAAGTGACGTCAAGACTGGCCAGAGAGCCATGGCTCTCTTTGATTTTTCTACAGTAACTGGCTTCACGGACTTGCATAAATTGCTTTTCTTGATCTCGTACCTTATTTACCTGGTAATTTTTATTTTCAAGCCAACACCATCTTGTATTACTCAATGTATACTGGTAGACCAAAACATAAAAGGGGCCTATTTACCGATGACATTTGGAGATAGGCATCATGACATTTAGGATCTAATCCAAACCAAAGCATCATTCTTTACCTGATTCCAAGCAGAATTATTGAAAATGTCATCTTTGAGGAGTAGTTCACAATAGGCTAGCTCATCTTTCCATCCGCCAAGTGCCTGAAGGACCCACTGCACAAGAGATTTAGATATTCAGTCTCTTCATGTACACATACCAAACAAAAAGTCCCTTTACACCTCCTTTACCAGAGCAAACATGGTGATTGTCATTTAAGGCAATTGAGAACTCTTCCACCTCAAAGAATGGAACAGAATAAAGAATAATACTAAATCAAAATTACCTGTCTATGAGACCAGGCATGATAATGTTTTGCATCCTTAGAAAGAATTTTCTTTGTGAACTCAAGCTCCCTAGTGGAAAGATCAGTTCCCAAATTTTCAGCCACCCAACGCCTATGGTGCCTGGAAAGTCATTTTTCTAATTAGTTTCAAGTCCCTAAAAACAGAATGATTTGAAACTAACCAACAATAGAACTGGATGAAACAACATAAAAAGGAAAGTTTTGAATGCATGCTTGTGCCAAATGTATGTATTAAAAGAATAAAAAAAAACCATTCTTTTTTTTTTTTCAAGCAAGCAATCCAATCCAGCTTTCGCTGGTTTCCAGATGGACACTGGTCTTTTTTTGAAATTACATGTCAGGTTATGATTTTAAACCCTCACCGACTCCATAGGGCCTCCCATTCAATTAAGCAAAATTCAATATCAAAATAGCTTGTCCGTGTGATAATATCCCAAGCCAATAGTTCTATGTTCAAATTTAGTAGCTTACTCTTGTATGTTTGAACTACATGTCAGATTATGTTCCATTCAACTATGCATCTTATTATGACACTTTATTTTACCAACCAAAGAACTATAACTGACATGATACGAATTGACAGGATATAGGTATTGCAAAGGATGCTGATAACTTTCCAAATACTACTAGTACAAAGATAATCCTTTTTTTCCCGTTATGTATTAAGTATTTTTAGATTTGGAAATGAATAATGTCCCAGCATAGAAAAGTTCCTTAGCAACAAAAAGAATTCAAGCAAACCCGAGAAGTTAAATGAAACAAAGCTTCCACACAAATATGATTGTTAAAAGCTTAAGAGTCGAGGAGAAAATAAGAGGACAGGCAGATAAAACAAGAAAACTATTTGTCAAAAGGATGACCTCACCAATTCAGTCTGCAGGCACCTAGACTTTGTCCTTGATCAATTGCACCAGGTACAATAAACAACAAAACTGCAATTATCTACTTAAGGGTCCAAATGCAGAAGAAAAAAGTAGCTATACCATATCTGATAATTCTTAGAGTTTCTTTCCACAATGCCATCCACAAAGTCCAATTCCTTGTTCATGTCAGCATTAAGCGCCTTGAGTACTAGCCGCCTAAATTGCCATACCTAAATCAACAGACACACAAAATAAATGCCTAATACACATAATTCTTCACAAAATAATTCCCCTCCATATTTTCTTCTTTTTTCCGAAGCTTCAAGAGCCTAAAGGGCCCATCTAATAACATCAAGAACTCATGAACAAGATAGCAAACACGCATGTCATGATTATTCAAAAAATCACTTTAACAAAAGGGGTCTTGTTGTGAGAATTTAAAATAGCAGAAAAAGGTCAAAATTTAGACTCTTCTGTGTTGTTTATCATAAAATATTTACTGCAAAATTCCCTAAACAGCAAAAACAATAGGCTCTTGCATCAAAAATTTCTCACTCCCGGTACTAAACATATAAGCATGCATCAACACAAAACAAGAACTAACAGTGTAATTTCCAGCGTTAAGTTTGATGGCTTCGGCGGTGAGTTGAAGAGCTCGAAGAGACCGCTCATCGGTTACATATATTGCTCTAAAATAGTCCATTGTCTCTCTAAATTCATCAGTATAGGAGATAGGGACAATGGGATTTGGACCGTCATCCTGGGCGACAGGCTTCACATCGGCATATTCAGGCCTCTGACTCAAAGGGATTCTTTCACTGCTTTTTTGCAAGACATCCATCGCTGAGAGGGAACCAATTAAAGCCAATTACAACTCAACTAAACAAGAAGATTATTAAGCTAGACAATTAACATTTTTCAGTTCGAAACTTATAGCTAGTTTGTGAGTTGAGGATAGAAAAGAAAGGAAGAGAAAGATTAAGTTATGAGAGAAAAGAAAAGATAAGAAAAGAAGGGAAAGGGTTTTAATGTTGTTTGGGAGTTTATGAAAGAAAAGAAGTGATTTTGGATACATAAGTAAATAAATATTTCATTCAATAGCTTTTTGGGGGTAGAATGGGCAATTTAAAAAACTTTTTGCTGCCTTTCCGTGCTTTCCTTTGCTTTCTGCCCGATTTGGGCCGGAAATTTTTTTTAAACTGTAGCTACTTTTTCCTCCTTTCAATTCCGTCGATTTCTTTTCCTTTCCTTCCACTTAAAGCTCTCAAACGTGGGAGATGCAGTCTTTCTCTTCTATTCCTTTCTTTTCTGTTCAAATCTCATCTCCCAAACTAGCTATTAATGAAAACTTTTAAAACAAACAACTAGAGGCAAATCTTAAAAAATAGAAAAGACTAGGGGAGTGGTCAAAACAGAAAAGAAAAGATAGCTTAGGAAAGAAAGGAAGAGAAGGGGAAAGATGCATATTACGTTTGGGAGTTTAATGAAAGAAAAGAAAAGAAATATTTTTCTCTTATTTGAGAGTTGGAGAGATATGGAAAGAAAGGATTTTATGAGAATACAACTTTACATATTTACCCTTTCAATTTGTAAATCAAAGTCCAAAAATTAGCTTTCTTGTTCCCATAAATAGAATATTTGAACAAGATAAATTTCTAAAATAATTACATCTGCATTCCCACAAGGTGAATAATAAAACAAATTTCTTGGTGGACTTCGATTCTCTTGCATGCATATAAATCGCCTCAAGTCCTTGTAGTATCTTTTAGGTAATCTTGATATATGATTTTTGATATTGGCCGGAAATGCCTAGTAGGTTATCTATTTAATATAAATTAAATATTTTTTAAAAAAGAAATATCCCATAAAGTACTAGCTCTTTATGGCTTTTCTCTATTATATGAGTCAAGTACCAGGTTTTTATGGATATTTTATTCTGAATCATTTAATTTATGTTAAATACATAAATATTTGCAAATAAAATTCAAAAGCCGTTACACAAATATTTTTACGAAAGGAAAACTAGCATGTTTTGTATTTAATATAAATGAAGTATTTGAAAGTAAAAAAAAATTTGTCCATAACATACCAGTTCTTTACGAGTTTCTTTCATTATATGAATAAAATACTAGTTATTTATGAGCATTTTACTTTAAATCATTTAATTTATATTAAATACATAAATTTAATTAAGCCAAGTTCAAAAAGTGTTACACTAATATTATTACGAAATGAAAACTAGTAGATTTTATATTTAACATAAATTAAATACGTGAAAGTAAAAAAACAAAAAGAAATTACCCATAGCATATCAGCTCTTTATGGGTTTCTTCTATTACACGAAATACCTTTTGTTTGGTGAATTAAAGAAATACCTTTTGTTTGGTGAATTATGGGTGAAAAATGGAAGAAAGCCAAGTTTTCGCCGGAAGTATTGAAAGTACAGGACACATGACCGAGAAACCTTTGCGGTGCTTTTATAGAAATCAATTTTAGGATATATTGGGAATAATAAATTTTTGTATCAACTTTTAAAGGACAAACTTGACATATTAAAAATGTCTTTTGGAGCCCAACAAGTTTTCGTCCTTTTTTTTCCACTTTTGGGCGGAAACATTTTCAACAATTGGATTGGAGGGAGACTTTTATCCATTCATTTCACTTCTCTTCTGTCTTGTTAAACTCCCAAATGAAAGAAATGACCGTTCTTTCTCTCTGAATACTTTCTTTTCTGTCCTTTTCTCCCTATCCAAATGAAACCTAAGAGACTATAGAGAGTTAATAGAGCTCAAGGGAGGTGCTATATTTCTTCCAAAAAAAAGACAGACTATATGGCATTAGTAAATTACTACTCAAGACAGAGTAGACAGATGATAGGAATCTATAGTTGGCAGCTTGAAACGAGGAGGGAGAGGGTAATCCTCTATTTCGGGTGTGAAGTTATTTTCCTCCGACTGGTGTAACTTATTTTCTGTCAGAAATTATTTTTTCAAATTAATTGACAACCAAACAATCGAAAATATGAAAAATATTTTTTTGGAAAAAAATTTTCTTCCAAACAAACAGACCCTAAAACAAAAAAGAAAAAAAGAAGTAAGGGAGGGCAGGGATGTTAACGAGTGATAATTAGCCACAGGGAAAGTTTCTAAGTTCATCCCTTCTATTAAAAAAGGACTTCAAAATCACAATAAATAAAATCGTACCTTTATAGCGCCTTCAGTTGTTTACTGCCGTCTTAAGCCCACGTCTTCAAAATCAGAAGCCCTTGATTATCAAAGGCGTATTTGACAACTTTAATCCACCACGCCTTCGTCTCTCATCTGCAAAGGCATCACGTTTGGAGCAGCAGCAAAGTCCGACTGATTATTTCTGGACAAACACATTGGCTTCCCCTTCCTGTCATAAGTTGAAGCCTAAAACACAGAATCAATTTTAAATTTCAGTTTTTCGCGCTCTTCCTCTGTTTTTCCCTGTAACCACAAATTCAGCCTATGGGATAATGGAAGAAGTTGACGAAACAGAGGCCACACCTCAGGTAATTCAATCCGCATTACAAGTCTAATCAATTTCGATAAAATAATCAATGTTTGTTCTGCCATTTCAATTCCAAAATATTTCAGCTGAGGTAGTTTGCTTATTTGAGGATCACTGCAAAATAACAAGTAGGCCTCAGGATTTTCCCGAGAGAATTTGAAGGATGGATATGTTCTTATGTTTGGATTAATATGGAAGAATTTGATGTGGACGAACTAAAGAGTGTATTAAAGAAGATCAAATTTTGTGAATCTCGAGTCTGTAAATCATAAGCCGAGGAGATTCAGCTAATCGTCGTGCGATGTATGGTTTCAATTCACACCTCATTTCGAGCTCTTCAGCAGTTAGAATCCATGTCTTCACTTTTTCTAATCTCTTCTACGGAATTTTGAAGTTTTTTAATTGACACCTGCTACATGAATTCGAGCTTTGAACTGAAAGCGGTATAGTGTTTTAGTAGAAGATCAATTTCTATATGTGACTCGGTCACTGTATGCTGCAAATTGCAAAAGATGTTGGATACTTTTAGCCAAATTTAATGGTTTCTTGTCTCTTACATGTCGGCTTGTGCATTAATTCTCAACCAAAAGATAAGAAGTAGAGAGTACTGCCTTCTGATGTAGAACATTTTTGAGTGGTTTTTGTGCGCTGTTGACGATTTTCCTAAAATGTGCCTTTTATTGCAGGTCTATATGGCTTGTATCATGCAAGGTCATAGGTGCGCTCTCTTTTATATTGCACTCTAATGTTTAGAGTGTAATTAGATGTTAACATAATGTTTGGGTTTGTACATTAACTTTTAATCTCAGAAGAGTTTTGTGATAAATGAAATTGCATTTTCAGAATTGGAGTTTCATACTATGATTCCAGTATCCGACAGCTGTACGTGCTTGAGTTCTGGGAAGATGGAAGTGAAGATTTCCCGTTGGTAGATATGAGTATGAATTCTTCCCCCAGTAGAGCATAAAATTGCTTTTCCAGCTTTATGGTTTTCTGAATGGGATTGATTGGTAACATTCCCAAGTGTCTTTTGATTTAATGATAGTTTGGTTTTGGAGATCCCATCTGAAATTTGAGAAAAAGACAAATTGGCTTGGGATGTTTTGTTTCTTCTTCATGCATCTTATAAAATCCTGTTACTCTACTCCAGTAATATATCAAGCCAAACCATCCATCATTTACACAAGCACAAAAAGTGAGGAGCTGTTCTTGGCTGCTTTACAAAAAAATGGTATCTTTCTCACTCTTAAAGTGGCTAGCAAAAATTTCCTGCATGTCAAATCACTGTAACCTGTTTAAATATTGCAGACGGAACAAGTAATGCAGCTACTGTAAAGCTTGTCAAGAGTTCATTATTCAGCTACGAGCAAGCATGGCATAGGTATGGAAGATACAGTAGGATGTTGCACTATTACATCCCCTTGCACAGTTCTGTTCAGTCTAAAAAATGAAGTGAATTTCCACTGAAATGAATATAACTTGAAACTGCCCTATACTTCAACTTATTCTCTCTTTCACCAGTAAATTGTCCTTGCTTACAGTTTCATTGCAGTATTTGAATGTTTGCAACTTTCTCTTTTTTCTGTAAAATGAGGATATGTGTTCCTTATAACCATTAGTTGGCCACTAAAGTACTTCACAAATATGAGAAAATAAGGAATTAGCAGATTGCTACTTTCTTCTGTTTCTTGTTGGGCCGCTATGATGCAGAATCAATGTGGCAGAGTATGCCTATGATTTCATTTCCTTTCATTTGGAGCAATCCTGAACTTCCAAGTTCTTTTATGCATTACTTTCATGAGTTCTTCTGGTGATGCTGTCATCAAATATTTCATTAGCTTTGTTCTCACAGAGAATTTTATCATTCCACCAGTAGTTCGTTGCTAGATTCTTTAGTTAAATCAATTCTACCCAAATGGTATCATTTAATAGAGTGGTATGTTTCACATATATTCTTGTTTGTTTTTCTGTTCTTGTCCAGATTAATGTACCTTCGGGTCACAGGGATGGATGATGGGTTGAACATAAAGGAAAGAATGTCTTTTGTAAGTACAGATAATTTCTCGTTTCAGTGGTAGATTGATCTGTCATGCCTCTTATTATAAGCACTTTGTTTAGCTCAAATTGACTGTTCAATACTATGGGCTACTCCACAGGCTTTTCGTTCAAAAAGATGCTTGATGCTCTTTCCTCATGCTTTCTACAAGAATAGACTCTGGAAAATCTGCAAAGTTGAGATAGAACTAGTTGGTGGTTAAGGGAGAATTTATAAGAGAACTCATGTTCCCATATATTTGCCAATGTCTTGAAGTAAAGAAAATCTGAGTATTGTAGTGTTACTGAAAATGAAAGATCAACTGTATCCAATCACTCACATCGTATCTAACCGGTTTCTTTTCATAATTTTAGCTGAACTCCATGATGGACATTCAAAGTGAGGTCCAAGTTCGTGCAACTGGAGGGCTTCTTGCGGTTCTAGAGAATGAAAGGATTATAGGCACCCTTGAACAGAAGGAGTGTGGAAGTGCATCCATTGCTGTTGACTCAGTCATTGAAATCTCACTGTATCTTAACGAACTTGAATACTAAGTTCTCCAATTTTTGATTCATATGATCTTATTTTCTTGTTATATTTCATCCAAAAGTTTAGTGCAATGCTCTAATTAACAAAAACCGCAGAAACAAGTTTCTCAAAGTTGACTCGGCTGCACATGAGGCATTGCAAATATTCCAAATTGACAAACATCCAAGCCACATGGGGATTGGCAGGGCAAAAGAAGGGTAAATTATGAACCATAGTTGGGGTTCTGAGTTTATTAACTTGAAAATAACTATTGAATAATACCTTCAAGTGCAGGTTCTCTTTATTTGGAATGATGAATAAGGTCAGCAGCTGCTGTTAGGTTTTAATAGCCTGTTCTAGTCTTAATTTGCAATTGCTGACTGGATAGATAATTTCTGACTGTGCCAGTGTGTAACACCAATGGGCAGACGTCTTTTGAGGTTAGTTGACAATCAAGAATCGACATTGTTACTATTGATCTGTCAGTGCTACCTCAATCCTCTGACCAATTAACTCAATTGTCAACTAGGAACTGGTTTTTGAGGCCTATACTGGACATTGAGAAACTGAACAAGCGTTTTGATGCTGTATCCTTCTATTTTGAAGTAGCACCATACCAGTGCTATTGGAGTTACTATTTATTTGAAGTGATGGAAAATGAGATTTGGTCGTATTTGAATGAAATCTTTGATGAAATGTTGCTAAAGAATTTATGCCCAGAGTTGAAGGTTTACATACTTTGAGACTATGTAATGCAGATGGCTGCAGGGATGTGTGGAATACCAGTTCATATTAGGTTTATTCTTTGACAAATCAAGATAACATTCTTCCATTCTGCTGAAGAACTTTTGGCCTCTCTGCGTGAAACACTGCAGTCCATAAAAGATATTCCTCACATACTCAAGGTGCATCCATATTCTCTTTGTTTCACCAAATATGCCCTTCGAGCACTTCTTTATTCGGATTTGTCCAGCACAACCAAATCATTGATGTTCCTGTAAAGAGTTGTTCTTAGTAGTTTAACATGGTGTGTTTTCTTTGTCTTTAAAGAAGTTCAATTCTCCAAGTTCTTTGTGCACAAGTAGCGACTGGAAAGCTTTTGTAAAGGTAGGCTTTTTCTGCTTCATTGTGATCATCTGGTTATTTAATTTGAGCTAAAATAATAGCTAAAGTATATCATATTTGCTCAAGTTTGCATAAAAAAAAATTTGCTTAAGTTTACTAAAACCTTTGTTTATTAAGCATATATCACTTTCTGAATAAGTTTTGTCATGGAGATTGCTATAGAAATTTAGGAAATAAACCTCTGGTTGATGGAGCTCTCAATAAATTTTTTTGGACAAGCCTATATTGATATTGCAATGGTCAGAAATGGCATCTGCCATCAACTATTAGGTTGAAGCAACATGTTCTTTCACATCTGCATTAGGTTCAGGGTGGCTACACTTCTGATGTCTTTCTAAGTAAAAGTACGGCTTAAAAAAAGACAATAACTGCATTGGTTTTTGTTGTAATGAGTTCTTTATGCTGTTATTTGTAGGTATTTGTCCACTCCTGAGCATTGAGGTTGTTATTGTCTAATGCTATACATTACAATTCTGATAGGGAAGTATTTACCGGATAGGAGATGTCATCATCCCTTATAGCTGGTGCTACTACTGCCATTAATTTTAACCTTGTACTGTGTTATTATTGTGCCTAATTTTGTTTCATATGCTTTTCTTTTGTAGAGCATTTGTTCTCTCTTGCACATAAACAAAATATTTGAAGTTGGCATTTCAGAAAATCTTCAAGAAGAATTGAAGTATTTGAACTTGGACATTGTTGAACAGGTCGAATTAACATTTTAACTTGAATGTTTGAATTTGAATCTTGCCCTTTATGAAGTTGTGGCTTTTTTAAAATCATCTTTGAGTTTGTCGCAGGTTGAATTTTACCTATCTGCGGATCTGGCATATGTCTATGAATTGGTCAGATGTTTCTTCTGAACAACTTTTACTTCTATTATCTCATATTTTCTGGATTGCATAGGTCTTTCACTTGCAAATAGAACGTCCTTTAATTGTCAGAAGAGAAGCAATAATAATGAAAAGAAGCATGGAACCTTTGTCATCATTTGCAGCTTTTGAGAAGCCAAATTATCCAAAAAGTTCAGTTTTTGTTCTTATGAAATTTGCATTTAAGGAGATCTTGTCTGCATCTATTTTTGAGGTCAGTTTTGATTTCATGATGTGCTCCTCACTTGTGGCTTTGGTTTATGCTTTCTTTGCCCGTGTTGTCGCATTTATTAGCATTTTACGAGAGGGGATATTGGGAATTTTTAATCAGCAGGGAGTTTTGCATATGTTGTTGTACTTGCTGAAGATCATTATGCTTGCTTATCTGGATTCTAGTTTAGCTTATATACAAGTAATGGACAATGGTTTGTATAGTGGACAACCATCTATACTTTCTTTCTTTCTGGTAGCTAAGTGCCAAGTCGATATGATCCATAACGTGCAATTGCCTTGTCAGACAGTTGTTGCTTCTGTTTAGTTGATTTTGTTGAGGCTGATTGCTGGTGTAGGTTGTTGGCGTTGTTGATGTGAATCGAAGTAAGGATAAAGGTTATGAGACTATTGTTAAAGATGGTTTTTGCGATGAGGTGTGACTTCTCTAAGTGGTATTTCTAAGGTTCTTAGGCTCTGGTGACTAGAGTATTTAACTTCTAATTTCTCTTTTGTGCTTTTCTGACAAGCTTCCTTCTTCATATGTAGTTGGATGAGCTGAGGCAAATATATGAGGAGTTGCCAGAGTTTTTGGAAGAGGTGCTAGCTTTTAGCTTTTATTTTTTTAAATGCATGCATGAATGGCATGAAGGTTATTGTGTCTACACATTGTCTAAATTGATGTTACCACTTTTTTGCAGGTTTCATCAGTGGAACTCACACGGCTGCCTTACATGTCTGGAGACAAGTTCATTCCTTGTATTGTGTATATCCATCAGATAGGTACTATTTGCAATTTTTCTGCTCAGATTTACCTTGCAAAAGTTTGTCAGGATATAAAATTATCACTTACATCTAACTACTATGCGTATTTGGATCCTTTCAGTGTCTTTTTTTGGTTGTATTGTTTCTTTTTCTTATGTAAAGACCACAAACACTTTAATTGTATACAGATATTACGGTGTTAAAATCATCATTGTAGTCAATCGATTCAATTTTGTTGGTTATGCAGCATTAATCTTCAAAATCCTTTGCAGTTCAATGGAATTTTTATTTTAAATTCTACAAATATGTTCACTAAACTGAAGGTCACGCCATGGGCGTCAAATGACTGATGATGATGTTGGAAGTATGAGAAAGTTTATCAGAAGTACATATTAGTTTCTTCGCATCATGAACCATATGGATTTTTTCACTTTGAACAAGAAATGATTTTAAATACCAATTTCCTTAAGTGGATCCTGTTCAGAAAACTTGGGAAGAGTGGTGCATCTACCTGTGACATTATGTACGCTGCAACAACTGTTTATACTTCTCATGTCCTAAGGAGCATAGATGCATTTCTACTTGTTCCCAGTTGGGAAATAAGTGCAAATAATCTCTTAACAGATACATAGATGGCACATTGCAGAAGATTTTATCTGGTTTAGCTTTATTGGGTCTAATAATGACATTTGTTTGTAATTCATCTGCAGGGTACTTGATGTGCATTTTCCAAGAAAATCTTGACAAAAGCATGCTGGAAAAACTTGAAGATTATGAATTTGCTGTACGCATTTGACTTGTTATGTGAAATGCATAACCTTGTTTTTAGTTAACATTAATTTGCTGTTAGTGAACATTTCTTTACCTGCCTTGGAAATTGGGTTTGGAATATACAGTTCTCCGATGAGGATGAGAATACTAAGAAATTTTTTTATCGCACTGCAAAGACACGGGAATTGGATAGCCTTCTTGGAGATCTATATCATAAAATATTGGGTATGCAGTGAAGATTGTGAACTCTTTCTGATAATATTTTCCATTAGCTTGAAATGGTATCTGTTTCTATTAAGAACGTAGAATGTGATACAATTTCTGTATAATGTGCAACTTCATATAATCCACAGCCAATTGGCAAGTTTAAAGTTAGAACTAGGTTTGATTTTTCCATCTTCCCGTTATCTTATGAATTTAATCTACTTCCTTCAAAGACATGGAGAGAGCAATCATTGGGGACTTAGTTTCTCGGATTCTTCAGTTCTCTTCACATTTAAAACAAGCTGTTAATTTTGTTGCTGAGCTTGATTGGTAAGCATCATAGTGATGACTACCTTTTCTCTCTAGTGCAAAAGTTCTGACTCTCTTGCATGACAAGTTTCCTGACAATTATTTGTGTTATATCCAAGTTTCTTGTCTTTAGCATTGGTTGCTCGTCAGAACAATTATGTGAGGCCCATTGTGACTGTTGAAAATTTGCTTGATATACTAAACGGAAGGTTAGCGCTATCCTGTCCAATTTAGAGAACATGCACTGATTTTATTAATTCTGTTTTCCTTGTGAATAACCAGCAACTATTACTTATTAAATTTGATAAGGCGGTAACAGAATATTTTCTGTTTGACAGACATGTACTTCAAGAAATGACAGTAGACACATTCATACCCAATGATACAAAGATTCTGCATGACGGTTAGGAAACTATACACGCCTCTTTATGGATTTAAGTTTTGGATTGATTTATCCTCATCTGCATGATTATTACGTTAAAAATTGCGTGTCTTTCATGTTTCAGGAAGGGTTAATATCATCACTGGCCCTAATTATTCAGGAAAAAGCATCTACATAAAGCAGGTGAATAACAGCATATACATATACACATATATATACATATATCTCTATACATATATATTTTTATATATTTATATGTATATGTATGTGTGTTATAGATGCATGTATATATATCTGATGAACAGCAGTAGATGTTTCTTCATTGTTCCAATTTTGTGTTGTTTCTCGGCCACAAATGCATCCCATGAGCTTAAGTACCTCGTTGTGTCCATGGATCTTGCATGGTGTATATCATGCAATTTAATTCTCCTATTATAAGCTGATGTGTTGGTTGTTCTACTTTTCAACTTGTCTAATCATTTACTAGCAAAATTAGAGTTGGAAACTGCATTAAAGTCCTCTATCTGTCAACATGCGTTCTCATCTGCTTTTTATTTCTTGATCTGCTAAATGCTTCTCGAAAAGCTAGCGTCACAATTTGCTGTGTTTCTGAATTTTCTGTATAAAAGCAACACATTCAATGATTTACCATTGTTTGGAAAGCCAAATTTTATATCAGATTCTCATAGTCCAAGTAAGGAGGAAAATTTCAAATTGATGGTTTTGTTTGTTTTAGTCCTTCAGACACTGAACTGAATTCACTTTTGAAATTTTGATGCCCCAGTTTCATATAAAGTATATACTTTTTTCAGGTCGCATTGATAGTTTTCCTTTCACATATTGGGAGTTTTGTACCTGCTGATGCTGCTATTGTGGGCTTGACGGATAGGTTTCACTTTTTGGTCACCCTAATTATAAACTATGTCATTTACTTTATCAACCTTGACGGGAACTTTATATTGTAGGATATTTTGTGCAACTGGGAGCAAATTCATGACAGCTGAACAATCAACATTCATGATTGATTTGCATCAAGTGGGAGTGATGCTAAGGTATATGTAAAAGTGTAATTAGTCCACTAATGTGTGGCTAAGAGTGCTCATACAGTCATATATAGATTCTCAGAAGTACCTTGTTTTGTTTTACTTTCTTCTGGAGTCCCATGACTCAGTTTTTACATCCTTCTAGGCATGCAACTTCTCGATCATTGTGCTTGTTAGATGAATTTGGGAAAGGCACGCTTACAGTAGGTCAGTTTCTTCAGCAATTGTTGACTGTTAAGCTCTTAGAAGTTTCAACTTTTCTAACGTTGTTATTTAGAAATGACACAATTTATTTCAGATGGCGTTGGTCTTCTCGGTGGAACTATAAACCATTTTGTCTCGTGCTATGATCCTCCTAAGGTGTTGTTGGCATTACCTATTTGTGCATCAATCATGTTATAGGTGCAGCTTTGTAGGAAAAGCAGTAATTCACTCTGCTAAAAGGAGATCCCCATCACATCACAATAAAGGAGTTCAGTACTTGCCAGTTTCTAGGTTCCTCAACAGGAGCAGATTTCTCAAAAGAAGTAAAATCAAAATCACAGTGTTCATCTCGAAGAATTGTTATGCGTAGAAACAAATTAGAAATGCATGAAGGGGGATAGTAAAAAAGGATGGCCTATATCATGGTCTCTCATGCAGTCAATAATACCACCTTTACTGAGAGCTCTCTTTTCACCTGATCCTTGAACTACTTCCAACAAGAAAGTGAAGAGACTCTAGCAACCTGATAAATTTTTGTTGTTCAAGTTGATTCTCTATTTGAACACGTCTGGCATTTTTAAAACTTATATAAGAAAGGAAAACTGTTTTCCTCTCCCTGCTGGTAGTTGACACATATTATCTGTATTCCCCAAATGTTTGTTTCTTTTAAATATTTTCAACTCTTAATTAACACTCTCCCTAGTCAAACTCAGATAGTTATTTTGTGATGGTGCAAATCTTCCAAATATGCTAAAGAAATGTAAAACCCTACAGTTTCTTGTGCGTTATATGTGCTTTTTACATTGTTGAGATATGCCTTTTGATCACTGAGTATGCTTGCAGGTTTTTATCTGTACTCATTTGACTGAGCTATTTGACAATAGCTGTTTACTGGAGGTAGAGCATTTAGGAGTGCTTGATAGGACTTGTGTATTCAAATTCTGAATGTTATCTATACTGGTTGAGTTACAATCTTGTAGCTTGACAACTTTCAGTGTGACAAGGTCAAGTATTACACCATGAGCGTGCTGAATCCAGACAATAAAGAGAATGATATTGAAGATATAGTGTTTTTGTATAGGTACGAAATTATTGCTTGGCTTCTGAGTATAAATTCTTTCCAAAGTTCTGAAGAATTCTTCCAGGAATAAGGTCAATGCATTTTCTCATATTCTTGTTGATGGCTCACCTCAAACACTTAACTAAAATTTCATTGTGTTTATTGGTCCAGTATGAGTTGCATCTGTGGAGCTTGAAGCTCTCTTTCAGATCATGGCCAGATAAACCTTATCTCATATTGGTATCAGTTCTCTATCATGGTTGTTCTAACTCTTGTACTTTGGCAGGTTGGTTCCTGGACGTGCAGCTCTTAGCTATGGTAAGATTTAAACATTTTAATGCACCTGCAACATGCATGCCAGAAGATTTACTGACAACGGCTGAATTGATTTTCGTCTGTTTATTTGAAGGTCTACATTGTGCACTTCTTGCTGGTATGTTTCAATTATAATGCTTTCCTGTTTCCTCAGAGAATTGATCAATTTTGTTGTTACTTTCTCTCAATTTAAGAAAGTGACGGACATGCATAGCATCTTAGAAATCGATGTCATAACCAGTGAACAAGTTCTTATAATTGTGGGTTTGGGATGGGTAAAAATATGCAACCTGACATGGTTTGGTGCATAGAGAGGCTACTTGTAGGTATTAACTGTATCCAATCATGCTAGGAGTATTCGAGGGAGTCATAAAAAGAGCATCTCTTGTGTTGGATGCTATTCAAGACAACAAGCACATTGAGCGACTAAGCAATGAGAATATATCTGCTCAGGATCAGCAATACAAGGTGTTAATATACACGGATATAAACTGAATGAGTTTTGTGTATCTAACTTTAAGCTGTATATTTTTTGCTTTTAGTGTGTCTAACTTTATTATCTCCTCGTACCGAGCAAATGCAGAATGCAGTGGACAAAGTGTTAGCTCTTGATGCCCTCAAGGACGATCTATCTGTCTTCTTTCAAGACGTTTTTCCTTAAGCGCAACATAATTCCTAATGCTTTTCTGGATCGTGCGCATTCTATGGCTGCATTGCTGTGAATTCTGTTCTTTTCGGATTGTTATTCAGCAGATATTTGTTTTGAATAACGGGAACTTGGGCATATGCTTCTGTAGGAGTTATAAGCGGAGAACCAAATATTAGTGTAGCATTCTATGTCTGTTCAAAAATGCTTCTCACAAATATCCTCATTTAACTTCGAGGATAATCTGTTCTTTTTCGAGTTGAAGGTCATTTTATTGTTGTCGTTGCGCTCAACTCACTGATGAAATTGTCTCATTATCTTGTAAGTATAGCCACATATGGATGATGAAATAAACATTTATTGTTAATTTGGTATGCAACATGTTGAGTATATCCAGGCGACACAACAATGACGGTATCCTCTTAGTTTTTGCTCCGGCGCGCACAAATAAAAAGGGAAGAATACAGTACAACTTCTTGATCTCTGTAGTGCGATTTTATAGAGCAACCAGCTGCTTGACATTGATGGGAGACACGTATGGCTGTGAACCAGAGTAGATGGTATCGACCATAATTTTATCCGTTGCTTGTGTGGGATGGACTTTATCCCAGAAGACGTGATCGGTTCTATTGGAGCAGTACACGGCCAGGGGCGTGCAAAACACGTCGGCATTCAGTTTTCCAAATCCACAACAAGCTGCCTTTGCCTCGGTAAAACCTAATAAACGTCGAAAACAGAATGATTCACATCAAAACTTGGTTGGTCATGAGTTTAATTAAAACAAGACTACCTGACGTCGTCGTAGTTCAAGAAAACGCGAGTGGAGATTACCATAAGTTGCTGCGTTGTCAATGATGTCGAGGAGGACTGTATAAGTATCAAATAAGGAGTAGCTGAAGTCGTTCAAAACCGACTTCAGTCCCGCCAACATTGATGCAAGTCCTTGGTTGTATTTGATCGCCAAAGAGTTGATATCTTGATTGCATTGTTCATTGCCGGTGTCATGTCTTTGCCCTGGACAGCACCCAAGTGATCCTAGTCCAACCACAACAAACTTGCGAGCCCCCAAACTATGGATTTGCTGGCCAAATTCAGTAAAGATCATCAGAAGCTTACACAAGTCGATAGTGCATATAACTTCTGTGGGATGTGGATGATGTACCTTCAACAATCCTTGGAGTATGGAAATCATCTGATCAACGTACTGATCTGGAGTAACCTTCATAACTTTTCTGTTGTTTAAAGACTCGAAATAAGCGAAAGCATCATTGCTTCCAATCACCACAAGAAACAGAGATTTTGATAAACGCTGCTGTGCTGCAGCAGGCCCAAGCTGTTTCACTAGTCTGTCGTGCAGCGCAGTGAAATAATCCACTTGTTGGGCCAGAGAGAGCGTCTTGCGCTGTAAACAAAAGAGTCAGAGAGAGTCAGTTCATAAAACTTCTTCACCATCACCGCGGGGATAGCTCAGTTGGGAGAGCGTCAGACTGAAGATCTGAAGGTCGCGTGTTCGATCCACGCTCACCGCATGGCTTTTTGAATCTTTTCCAAACGTTTGGATGGTGGGGCTTTTTTGGGCTAGCCCAAGGTTAAGTTTGATAGAAGTGCTGTTGGACTCGAGTACCGGATGGAAAAGATAGCCTTTTACGCTTGAGAGAGGGCTTTGTCTCGGAGTGAAGTCAAGTTTATAGAGGTGGGCCTCATGCCAAAACAAATGCACGGAACCACACCAAACAAGAATCAAGCCTTGTAGATTAACAGTCCCCCTTGTCATCAAATTTTTGGGAAATTCTCTGGGAAATACCTCTTCTCTAGATTCAATTGATAAGCAATCGCTTTGGTTGTTTGAATACACGCAAATGGGAAAGGAATCCTGCTATCCTATGATTCTTGCAAGGATTAATTAACCCCAAAAAAAAAAAAAATGTACTTACGAGGAAGCCTTGGCCGGTGGTGTTGAAGAGTCCTGATCCTCCAGATGCAAAACTTACTCCCTTGAGGAAAACATCACTTGTATCGGACAAATATGGAGGGGAAGTTGGCAATCCCACCTTTTCAGCTGCCACATATATATATGTATCAGAAAATCTCTCTGTCACTCGTCAAAAAAAATTACAGTAATATTGAAGAATGTATTCATTTGCGCAGCCGTACGTAGCTTCAGAATTTAAAATATCAGTAAGTAAACAAAAGGACAAAAGGAGGAAAGAAATGATCGGACACTTTTGTGGCTGACGTCTTTGTCAGTGCACTTAAGTTGTCATCTTCAAATAAATAATAATAATAATAACAGAAGGCATGATGTCATCATCATACTCAAATTCTTTTCATACGCTTTCTGAAGTCCATCCCCCTCGATCTCCTTCTTTTGCTTCTTCGGAGTTGGGGATAGAAGGTCGTAAAAAACATGTATACTGACTGAGTCAATCGTTCTGGCCTCGCAGAGTATTTCAATTCATCGTTCAATCAAAATTGCAACTGAATTAATGGCCAAAACATGCATGCAAATTGCAAGGTTAGGAAGTGGTTGGTGCCAAAATAGACCCCAGTAACTAACTTGATCGTCAGTCATGCAGTAAATGCAAGAGTCATCAAGATACAAAAGGGCAAAGTCTTTTCTGTGATGGAGTAAATTTTTTGACAATAAATAATGTACCGATAAAATCTGCAGCGTTTTTGCCATTGCAGAATCTTCCGGTTGGTTTTCCACCAGGGTAATCAATGCCGTTGTAAGGGTAATTTGCCTTGAGAAGCGAGTCTTTAATGTAGTTGTTGTTGCCAACATCAACAAGGGAGTCACCGAAAACATACACGGCCGGAACTGTTTGTCCTTCTGAGAAACTGATGAGAGCAAAGAAGAAGAATAGGGACATGTTTCTGAAGGCGAAAAACCCAGAGCTGGCTATTGTGGAGGAGGACCTGAGACAAGCCATATCATCAATAAGGCTCCAGATACCTTTTCAAAGGCTTCTCGATCCTCGACTTGTATGAGTATCTCCACTAAAGTTGGGGAACGGATGGATGGGTTTTATAGGGACATCCTAAGAGGCAGTGGAGGAGGAGTGCAACCCCGGTAATGTGAACGAGTAGAAGATTTGAGACTTTTTTTTTTTTTTTTTTGGTGGCTTTGATGGACACCATTTACTCGATCAACAAGCCGTGTCGATGTATAGATGTATGGCATTAACGCCAAAGTCTGTTTTGACATGTAGTCTGGATATACACTACGATGGCCGGAAAACGAAATTAATGGTTCGGAATTCTGTGTCCATCTTAACTAAATCCAAATTAAAAGTCCTTCGAAAGTAGAAGAAGATACACATAGCATTAATTAATTAATCATTAATGCATGCAGTAGGAAAAAGAAGTTGACGTGCTACGAAAACTTTTTATTACTTAATAATGGTCCTAAAGTTTGTTCTCTAAATTCTCATTATTCTCATTCATGGACCTCAAGCAGTCAAATTTATGATAGAAAGAGAGGGATTAAGTTTCACGTGCCTGTCAAATTCATGGGCTCGTGCCTCCGTTTCTTAGAACGAGACGAGTCTCTCTCTCTAGAGTATGGTTCAAAGGTTCAAAGTCGCGGTCGCGGTCGCAATCGCGGTTCGAACCGTCTCACATTGATTTCAACATATCGGTCACGATATCTGTGAGACGTAAATTTTGAAGTATTCTAAAAATTGTGAATAATATTAAAAAATATATTAAACAAAAAATAATTAAAAAATTAGCAAAAGAAATCTGTAAAATATAAATTTGTGAATTGACTCGACCGAGACTATCAGTATTAGAAACTTCTCCGCCGAATTTTTCGTGATTCGACCGGGTTCTCGGTGATAAGCCGAAAATGTGTATGTTTTACATAGATTTTTATTTGATTTAATTCATTATTACTACATTATATATACCATCGGAGATTGACTCTCCTAAGTCAATCCTTACGGGGCCCGACTAATCCCATGTGACCCGGGCTCGCCGCCCCAACGCGGCCCGAACACGTTAAGTGCCCGGAGAAATTCAACGGAGTGGAGACTCGAACTTGTGACCTCAAGGTTCACTGGTAAGAGGCGTTGCCGCTGGACCATTCACGCGGGGGCTCTATATATGATAGTATATCAATCCCTGGTAATGTGCACTTGGTTTTTTTCTCCCACTTTTGCTCCTTCGCGTCGCTGCTAATAATGCTTATTGTCTGATGATGATTAAGGCGCTGTTTGATAATTCAATTTAATATTTAAAATTTTAATATATTCAAACCGTTTGATAACAAAAATTAATTATCTAAATTAATTAAATGTCACTGAATTTTCTAGATAAAGTTAGCTCTCAAAATTTTGATCAAATTGATAATACCTTAGATAACAGAACAGAAATGGGTACATGTCAAAATGTTCCAATGAAAATTAGCCTACAACTTTCAAATGAAAACAGACTCGGCACCACCGCTATTTTCCACCGTCCCATCACAATTCACACCAGCCAACCCACTACATAGCCTTCTTGGTTAGTTCTTCCCTTCTCAAATCGAATCTCAGCTCTTAACTTGGTACAGGTTTGTTGCCGTCGAACATGTGTTATTGCCATTTAGTTTTTTTTTCTCTACATTTGTGGCTGAGGTACCGAAACAAAACAAAGTCAGAGAAGTCTTTTCTTGCTTTTTGCTGAGGGAGGCAACTGCTGAAATTCATGTTTTTCGACGCAACAAGTCGATAGGTTTACACTTGTAAACTCCAATTTTTGTTCCTGAATTTCCTGTTCGACTTTGGCAAAATTTCTCTTGATAATGTGAATCTTATTTAAGTTGGTTGTCAAAGCAGGCAGGCCACAAAACATGATTGCAGAGGAGGATAAAGACTTTTGACAACCCCTGCCTGAGTGCTGAGTCTGCTGACTGATAAAATATTTCTTCAAAGGCAGCAATAATGAGACTATGACGCATATTCAAAAAGAAACATCCTTGAATTCAACCAAGATAATCACCTTTTTAGCTTAACCATTAGCGTAACGTTTCGTTTTTCTCATCCCAGAACCGGCAAGTAGACTTCACACACTGTTGGGATCAGAACTATAGGCTTTGTTTCGATACAGCATTACTTCAAATAATTATTTGAAATAATTACTGTAACACTTTTTACATGATACGATGTATATGAGATAAAAAGGTGGTTGGAAATATAAAAAGCTGAATTGAAAAATGTGTTTCCGATACAAGCGAAATTTTTTTTTGAAAAAATTTGCTATCCAAACGTAGCCTATAGTTATCAGAGTGTGATTTATTTTCAACTTGTAAACAAAATTTGATCCACAACATCTTGTTTACTAGTGCTATCTTTTGTTTCACATTCCACGGAAGCACAACTTCTCTATTTTGTCT